CCATGTTTCGCACCCATACACAACAACAGGCAAAATTATTGTTTTGTATACTTTAATTTTCAGGTTCTTAGAAATCAGACGGGAAGACAAAATATTTTGAACAGAGAAGTAGCAATCATTTCCGGAATTTAGTCTCCTCCTAACTTCCTCACGAATATCATTTTGATTTGTTATTGTCGTTCCCAAGTGTTTGAAATTTGCGACACTTTCAAAGTATTTATTAGCCACCCTAAGATAATTCTGCCCGCCTGTCTTCTGACGACGAGATACTAACATGTACTTAGTTCTTACTGTCTACTAGCCTCTAGTAAAACTTCTGTGTTCCATTAGTTATCGCTGTCAATCTAATTGCCAGAGAAAACTTTCTCACGACAGCCATGTTGTCCTTTTACGTATTCTGAACAAACTGACTTCACAAAAGTTACATATTTTTTAAGATATATTTTCATATCTTACTCCGAGCCTAATTCTAAGTGGTACTGGCGTCCTCTCAAAACAAAACTTCGCTCGTCCGCCATATTGGTAATGCTTATTGCAGAAAATTTTAAGGTACAGCTTTGGGTAATCACCAAAGACAAAATTCTAATTCCAAGTTTCATGAAATTCCGTCCTGCTCGGGTAAAGTTTGTCGACTTTCTCAAACATTTCAATTGTACAAAACTTTCTCTCTCTTTTTGTCATCAGTCTTCCGACTGATTTGATGCGGTCCTCCAAACTTTAGACAAGACTAAAATATAGGCCTCATTATGGTCTAAAGATAAATATTAAGTATCGCCCTGATGACAGAGGCACACTATACGGCTCAATAACACAGAAGACAGCAATCTTCAGACTCACCGCTGTGAAAACCTCAAATCCCACAGATTTCTTTTTATTTCGAAACACAGGCACAATTGTGGCCAAAGAAAATGCACACAATGGCGAATTTCTCACAAGCGGCACGTCGTAAAAAAATTATGGATACATAAATTATTTCTCTTTGTGTGGCAACACCGATAAAATTATCGACTTTTAGAGTTTAAAAAAACTAAGCACGGGGAATCCAAAAACTTATACACCGACGCGTAATTCCCAAAAGGCACGTCATAAAAAAATGGTAAATATAATAATGTTATTTTTAACGAAACATCGAAAAAATAATCGACTTTTATCCATTTCAAGAAATAGACACAGGGGTCCAAAAATTTATAGAACAGCGCTTCGAAAAAAAATTGAAAACAAGAAAAATCTTTTCCTTGAAGAATCAGTTCAGGGAAAAGCACAAATTGTCCCCACTTCTAAAATTAAGTGCAAGGATAAAGATTCTTCATAGAAAAAATAAATTAATCAGATATTTCTATTAGAAAAAAATGGGAACATTCATTTTTTTAGAAAATTTGGCAATGTTTTATCAAAAAATATTAGTGCGTCGTACAGAAAATGATAAATTTAAGTCCTTGCTATTAATATTTTCATTACAATCAAATAAGATATCTTGACGGTGCATAGTACAAAAACCTACATTTTTCGAATAACCGGTATTTGTTAACGGTTACTGCTAGTAGATTAAATAATATTTCAGGCACTAGAATATCAGGGCAGACCAGCACTGCAGAGGGCGTATCTGGTGTTATTTTACATCACCATCTGGTCGCCAGTGCAAGGTCCAGCGTTGGACTCATTTTATTTCTATCGATGGACAACTATGGCTATATCTGCGATATTGTTTCGAGTATGTACACTAGCGTTCTTCCTTGGTAAGTAAGATTACTTTTCCATTTTTTACCATACATTCCAAATGCGCAATAACGTAACCGAATACAATAATGAAGAGATGATATCTCCAAAATTATTTATTACTCCTATTATTTTTATACTGCTTCTGACTTAAAGTTAATGAGTGAAAATTGTATTTTCGGAATGCTTTCTAACTATGTATCTCGTTTTATCGTCTTATATCTATATACTTAAAGAATTAAGATAAAAGGTAAGGTTTTATCTGTTGTCCTAGATGTCTGTTAAACTTTTGTCTCTCATCCTGAGCGACGGACATAAACTTTTTGAAAAATTTGATGCTGAGGAAAGTATTTAAAAGTAAGAGAATAAATGAAAGGAGTATATAAAATTATACAATGACATTGTATCTAATGAGGAATGAGTTTTAGATAAAATAATAATATTAAAATGATTCTTAAAGACATAGGGTTTCATGTTGTGGACAGGATTAAAATGTGGTTCAAGGCAGAGGCCAAGGCCAGTGGCGGACTGTTAAGATTATAATCTTCTAGGAATTTCCTGATTGATTATTGGATCCTCTAGAAAAGCTTTCTTTCCTACAGTTACATCATATATTTACTGCTTATACATAACATTACAATAAACAATCTATTTAGGCCTAATCTATACAAGCGTTCAACTTAAATATCGGTGAATCTTTACGTAAAATCATTACTAATATGAAAGGGAATAAGTTGCGAGTGTAAGTAAAAGGATCCTTGGAGCCAACCACATTTTTACTCGGTAAAATTTGTTCTCGCAAACGATGATCAGTCGATCGAGTCATGGTGGTATCAGTTCTATTACGTGTGGCACAACGAAAAGACATTACCAAACTTGTTACTATGTTACCGTATTTTAAGTTTAGTCTTTAGGTATTTGATTCGTTAACCCGATAAAATAATGGTTTTGGCTGGACAAAATTCCTATTTAAAATTAACTAAAATATCTTATAGTATGTTTCTCAAGATTATTTAAAAATATTTTGCTTATAAATACGACGTCTGTTGTCGAACAAATTTGCAAGTACTTCTACTTTCAGCAAGCGTTTCTTTAAAGTGTCATCTGTACAATGTGTTTATCCACAACGTTTATATCTATCTAAGAATGTGCACGGCGTCACAATTCAGAACATCGTCATCTTCAGTACCGTAAGAACTTCAAATGTCACGAAACATACGGTAGTCTGTCAAGGAGAAAATGTAAATACAAGACAAAGCATCGATATTTGCGATCGACCGGCGGTGATAAATTCACTCGCGGCAGCTAAAAGCTGAAGTTCGGAGGCTCGTCTTTATGTGCTTTCGTTGCAGAGAAAATTCATTAAACATATCGCAAATAATATTTAAACAATAATACTTAAATTAAAATATAAGAATCCATTAACATTTAATTATGTTAAACGAAATTTCTAGGACCCATTATGGCCTACATTTCGATTCATGTTATCAATACAACTTATTTATCGTTTTCAGAGTACAGTCAATTGAACCCTCTTGGGACGCCACTGTAAAATATAATGCAGAATACTACTAGCAATTCAATACGACGTAGTGACGTTTAATTTTAAATCTGTTTAAATAACGCTTAACAATTCAGCCCGTACTTCAAAGAAAACACCATAATTCTCCATTACAAAAATCAATAGGTTAATGCTCTTCAGGAAAATAATTGCTACTTGCATCATACTAAATCCATAAATACAAATTACAGAGTTACTAATTGTTAAAACAGGTGGTGCACTAAGTTACCACCCGAACTTAAAGTGTTAAAAAAATTAACGTACAATCGCATATATTATTTCATAACTGTCACAGTTTTATCCTGTACGTATTTTATTATGTTCTTCGAGAAAGGTGATGTATAATTTGAGTGGTCACCTGATATTTGTATCTCGAACCCAGCTGAAATGGTTCGAGCTGACGGCTCCCAGTGCCGCCCAAACGGTGAATATTCGACAGCAATCAACCGACTGAGAAACGACATACTGTGTTCATACGACGTGTTCGTTCGTCCAGTTCGACAATACAACGATACAGTCGACGTCAAAGTTCGTCTTTCTCTCAGGAGGATTCAATTCGTGAGTACATCCCAAGCTTTAGAATGCCAATTAATCTTACAACTTATTTGAAAAACCTTTCGTGGAATAATATTTTAACCACTGTGAAAATCAGTGCCATATCCAAGCCGAGGACAAAACCTCGAACTTCATCTTAATCTTCCTTTCGTAATCTTAAAGAGTTATCAGTATCCGCCAACTTCAGTATTAGCAGCTTTCCGTCAACATCTGTGTCAAAATAAATATACCGTTAAGCATTAAAATCAGGTCCGATAAAGCGCCACGTCATTTAGTTTCAGCCAGCTGCATAGATTCACTTGTTAAACTACTGTTCGCAGACATTTTCTAAGTTAACAGGTGGAACCTAAATGACGACATTAATCTTCAGGTAATCAAACCTGCTACTGATACGGGCGTTGATTTGAAAATGGAAATATTGCCCAAAATAAGCTGTGTACAGTAACAGACAGCATTCTAAGAATTCTGACAAAACAGTTGCAAATCCACACCCGTGTGTGAGCGCGCAGGTTATTGAAGTCTTCTGTAATGAAAGGATTTCACTCACATTTTGAGGCGTGTGTGCATACAGAGAATAAAATAAAAGTTTCGATTTACCCCTTCACAAGCTTCAATGCCTATATTAGTGGCGCTGTAACGCGTTTAACTGCTTAATCTCTCATAACGAACCGGTTACTGGCAACACAGACACGGTAAATTAGTGTAATCTCTAAGATTAGTGTCATCGATGTTTTTGGTCGAACTGTGTGGATTTCGATGACTGGCTTTACTAATGAGAATTTCTATTACAATGAAGTTCAATCTCCATAATGAATAAAGAAAAATTAATATTTAACTCGTTACTGAACTGCCATTAAAAAATTGTCTTTATTTCAGGACGAGAGGAGAGACTCATTGGAAGTTCACAGCTTTTTCTTAATGGTATGTGCGTTGTATACAAGACTCGTAAGTCAGTCGCCTGTGTTAATAACATCCATTCACATTTATAAGAAAGTATTTCAGTTCCATACACAGACTGGAGGGACAGTCAGGCTAAAGCATCAGAGATTGTGTCGTTCCGATTAATCAACATCAAACAACTCATTAATACGACTACATTCCTTTTGTGCTGCGTTGTGATGGTATATTGCATTAAACATGGTAACAAAACAAAAGATACGAGAACCAAGATTTCTCATGCAGTAATTTATGAGAGCACAAACGCATTTTAAGTATTCATGCAAAGAGTCATTTAATGTTATCCGATTTTAATCAAAACTGAAATGGGTTGACAAATTTTAGTAAAACTTCCCAATTTAAAATCTCATTAAAATCGGCACCACGAAATTAATAACTAGACGCTAATAACTTTGTCATAAATCGCACTACAAAATATAAGCAGCTTCTCCTAAACATTTATCACTCTTTTCCCTTATTCGATTCGTTCAAACAGATAATAAAGTTTTCATCGTCGTTCGTGTGAAAGTGTAACAACTTTCTCCCTGCCAAATCCTACCTCCAAGAATTAAATTTTCTGAGATATTTTAGTCGATCTAGTTCTAAATAAATGTAGGAACCCGATAAGTACTTTTATCTAAGTACCCTGCTTAGCCAACCACTCCGAAGCCATAACTGCATCCGTAACATTATTAACCTCATCCTTCGACATCGTTTTCGCGACTGGCCAATTGGTACGATTTCGTGAATATAAACTAAGCATGTCTTGTGATTTGCGGTTCCAACGACGGTGACGATAATTAATATGATGTTTTTCATCATTAAACACATCTTAATCCTTCCATTCTTTACGTAATCTTGTCTATTCAGAAGGAACTGGCTTCATATGAAGATATAATAAAAGGCTATCATTTTTCTCAAAAGATGTTCATACAGAATTTAGTTATAACAAAACCATAAGATATAGAACATCACCTAAAACACTAAGTGTTTATTTAATTTTTAAATGCTTCATTATCCTGTGCAGTATGTTATCTGTAGTGTGATTAGATTTCTAACACTGTATACGTGTGTGTTTGTAATGAATAAAAAGTCAATGACCCAAATAAAATTGTAAAAAATAATTATTCATTTTGGGGGAAGTATAAAATTGCACATAGGCCTATGTGTTAGTGGTTGCCATAATAACTTATAATTCGTGTGTCGCAGATTTGATCTTAAATGTCACCACTAATATCAAAATAAAAATTAATATAAAATCTGTCACCATAAAATTCTGCTATAGTAAACAGAAACAAATGCCTCTTTCAGCTCTTATTATTTGGCTAGACATAAATAACTCTGACTTGTTTGAATCCGTAACCACTTAAAAGTTGCCGAATTACGACACTGAAAGTTTTGTATCTTCCCTACAAAGGTTAGTTAACTTAACCCACAGTATCACTTTGTGCAGATTGTGGAGTTAAAACCTTCTTCGCAAGATATTCTGAATTATGCTTTTGTTTTCTGTGTCCAGAATTGGATAGACTACCACTTTGTTTGGGAACCAGCCAAATATGACAACATCGACAATCTTCATGTGGCAAGCAACACGATCTGGATCCCCGACATCGGTGTGTTTACGTCGTAAGTGATTTCTTCGGTGAAAAGCAAAGGACTCGTGTATTTTATTAAATAAGTCAACAAGATTTACTTCATTGTTTTCTGTATATGTAAGTTTCTGGTGACTTGTTGGCCCATCTTTCTTTGCTTTTAATAAGTAAATGTTCAGTATATCATGTGACTCTCACCCTGATAACTTTTGAACCAGACAGATATTCATGAAACTTCGTACGAACATCATTCAACTAGACTACTGCAATAGAAAGGAATACTTTTGTAAATGAATCGGTTATTATATGCGGGTTCTTGTCAAAATGTAATTCTACCTACAAATCACAGTTGCCATAATGGCAGTCTTCTTCACTCACTAGTTTCACCATCAGGCAATTATATATCAACTGGCGTCGTCTCAGAAACAACACTTCCATTGCATCTTACCTGTGCACTTTTATAGGACAGACGGTTCGAAAAATCGCTGCGATTCTCCAGAGCTTTCCAGCTAATCCTGGAGTGTCCTGTACCGTTTCGGGTAACTCGGATTTCCCCGAGGTTACCACAAACGGTCGACAACAGACGATGGCGCCCTGACGTGTCTCGTCCCTCGTTTCGTTCTGCCAGGATGGTGGGGTACACAGTCAGCCAGCTAATCGGAAATGACGTCACGGATAACCGAATAAACATACGACGCTATTATAGAAGTTTCAATCGACAAGTCTCAATTCTGGTGCAAAAGTTTCAACACACCTTGAAACATCGTTGATTTCTTACTAGCTGCAGCGCGAACTTCTGTGGTAAATAAATTATTTATAGTCTTACAGCCCGCGAGGTGATAGAAAAGAGTGATGGGGTCTCAGGTCTTGGAAAAGTTCGACAACCCCTCGCTTCGACAGTCTGGTCATTAACACAGTTGAAGTTAGGGAGGGTAGGAATAACAGCATCCACTGTGCTACACCTCGATGATAGAATAATGTCCAAGAATATAATTGAGGTAAACCCCACATACATAAATTTCTGACTTTCTTCGAAATGACGGAAGAGGAAAATCTTAAAAATCCACTATATCCACCTGGTGTCAAACCAGAGACGTTACGCGAGAAATATTAGGATATTTTCCCCAGATCACCGAAGGCAGATCCTTTCTCAGGGTCCCACAGTTAATACAGTATTGTTTTTCAGTGCTGATGAGACGTCTTTCAGCCTTTACAAGCCACCCACAATCTGCATTATATACAATGACGGGGTCGTAGTGTGCGCTCCTGCCTCCACGCACACAGCGAGCTGTTCTGCAGACCTGACGCACTGGCCTTACGACAGACACACCTGCAATTTGGTGATGGGCTCTTGGACACACACGGGCGAGAAGGTCAACGTATCTCTCATGGAAAGAAGCGTAAGTATGCAATTCACAGACAGAAACACAGACTCCCAGCCATGAACAAGTTATGAAGATTTCTGTCTTCTGGGTTGTTGCTTACGCAGTCCCTCCCAGGACTAAGATCTCGTGGCAAGACTTCAAGCAGATGTGACAGTGGTCGAAGTCGACGTGTTAAGGCGTGCTCCTAGAGAATGTGCGACGCACTGCCGTCTGCTTTAAAAGGGACGAAGGACGCTTCGAACTCCTATTATAACTTAGAATACTTCATCATTTGTTTTTGTGTCATTTAACGGTGACGTATCATGAAAACTAAACGTCACGGGACATATGTTGTATATTTTCGACTTGTTTTTCTAACAAGGAATCACATTGTGGAGAGCTACTTGTTTTTCTAACAAGGAATCACATTATGGAGAGCTTAGGCATACCTCGTTTTATTGCGCTTCGTAGATATTGCGTTTTATTTTCAAAATTGAAGGTTTGTGGCAACCCTGCGTCGAGCAAGTCTATCGGCGCCATTTTTTCCTACAGCATGTGACCACTTCGTATCTCTGAGTCACATTTTGGTAGTTCTCGCAATGTTTTCTTTAGAGAAAATGCTATTGCACACTTAATAGACTACAGTATAGTGTAAACATAACTTTTATATGCACTGGGAAACCAAAACATTCGCGTGACTCACTTTATTGCGGTGGTCTAGAACCGAACCCGCAATATATCCGAGGTATTCCTGTATTTAAATATTCATGTTTATTTAGTTCTTTGGGAAAGAAGTTGGAAGCGTATTAGAACACATTTCGTCATGTAGTATGCTCGAAGCCAAAAGTTATTTTGTCTGAACGTGGACTTACAGTAGACGAGGCATTTAAACTGGCGGCCTTCTTTGACGTTTCATGAGACCCGACTCAGTTCTAGAATTATGCACACCACTGAACGGATGTTAATTAAATTTGATATGAAGGACTATCAACAATATTTCTTAAAAGGCCTACATATTGGATTTAGTTAAAATCTGACCACAATGACAGATACTTTATTTACACGAGGACTGTCTTGGTCTTCTGAGAGCATCTCGGCTCAACTTGCAACATACTTATCAATGCAAGAAAATGTTTTTAACTAAAGTTTAAGAGAAAAATGTAACGGGCATTTTGTTGTTATTAAGCCGTAAGAAACCTGGGTTCTAAAATGCTGATGAATTTTTTGATTGGCTGAATTAATTTAAGTAAATATGTTGAAACTGAAACGCACAGAATGATACATAAATAATTGAAAAAGCGAATTTTACTTACTGTTGCCATCTACGTAGATCGGTGTCCAGGCAACTTGTGACAGACCGGGAATCGCCCATTGTAGCAGGAGAAGGACGATCAGTGCGACGTGGTAACAGCAGACTCGTGCTTCCATCTTGCGTCACACTTCTCACTCTACGGTGTTACTGAATATGTAGCTCCGAACAACTTACGAAGAACTCAAAACAATTTAAAAACTCGGAAAAAAAAACGTACGTTCAGATTGCACAAATGGCTAAAATAAACAGTTTGAGTGGATATCGTATTCATTTAAGTCAACTTGATGAGAAGAAGCCACGCTGCCAACTCTTGGTAGAAACTTTCATCATTGGTCTTGTGCAGCTTCGTGGTCTGGCAGTATTCTTCTTTCCCACTGCAGCCAACAATTCCTGCAAAGAGGGAATGGTACGTCACTAACTGAAAAGTGCTCTTCATCACGTGTACACGTGGGTAAATCCCTAAACTGAGGGGAAGAAAGGGGGATAATAGAGATAAGCTGATGACGGAGGCAGTATGACCTCTGAAACGTTGGTTAACATCTACCAGACTACACAGCGCAACAACCCAGAAGACAGAAATCTTAGGGTTGGTAAGTGTTCCCATGCGTTCTTGCACGAAGCACACGACATGAAACGCAACTGGGGAAGATCGTGTTCTTACATATTTGACTGTCAAGTTGTTTCAGCTCCGAAATCACAAGTCGGCGTGTAGTAAGTATCAGATACATTTCATTTGTTTCTGTACTTTCGAATTATTTTCCTCAAGAACAACTACTTCTCTAAATGGTTACGTAGGTATGTTCCTCATTGACTGTCTGTGTTCTGTCACAGTTCTGATGCTGATGACACTAGTGACCTGGACGAAAGGTGATCAGTCAGCCCGGCTGATGCTGGCCATTATCGACGTCTTCACTCACTTCCTCTTTCTGCAGTACTTGGGAAGCTTACTGCCAGCAAATGGTGACAGCACCCCTCTGATAGGTGAGCACATCGAAGTTTAAAGCTTTTAATCAGAAACTGCTTATGCTAAATATCGTACTAGCAATGCCTTGACGATGGGGACAATAAACTCCTCTGAAACGCTAGTCAATTTCTACAAGAGTTCACGGTGCAACAACGCAGAAGACAGCCATAGAATTGCACATGATCCATTACCGGAGACAAGGACGGATACGTAAACCACTTCTGCTGTTACATACCATAACCCAAACATCAAAACATACGAAAGTAAACTATTTAGAACATGTAATTTGGAAATATGCATAATATTAATAAACTGACGTTTAAATTAACATAAGATTCTCAAATTATAAATCGATATAAAAAACCTCCGTGAAGACATTAAATTTGAATATGAAAAAACAATTAAATCAAATGAAAATTTGATGAGCGACTACACGCTGTCTGCTACCAGAACTGGCTCTGAGTCTTGTATACACTACTTTGTGTTTCTGACAGTGACCTTCTACCGGGACTCCATGATTCTAGCGACCATGGCTCTCTTAACAGCTATTATCGTACGAGGTCTGAGGAGGACAGCAATTTCTCTTCCAGTCTGGATCTCAGGCCTGTCCAGTTGGATCGTTGGGAATCGCTTTGGACAAGTATTAATCTTCCATAATTTAGACCCAAAGGTAGGTGTGAATTTTTAAATGATTCTTATTTTCGCGTATGCGTGTCATTTATTGTTTCACTGAGGTGAGAAACAGACAAGAACACAAAGTGCGAGCAGTTTGTAGTTGTAACGCGGTCGAATTTAAAAGGGCCTCATTGTACTTCACCTGTTCTAATTTACACATCGCCAAAGAATTTAAAATGACAGTACTTCTACTAAATTCTAAAGTAATATCATCTAAAGGGCAGGTTCCAGTCTTAAGTAAATTAACAACAATACCATAGTGATACAAGTAAATATATTCACACATTTCGGAAATTTCATAGGAAGATGGTAAGGACATATTTTTTTTCTAATTACTAATTTCTGAACAATGTTATAAAATCAGATTTATGATAAATACAAGCCCAATTGAAATTATGTAATATTTTGGCTACCTCATGGCTGTGAAACCAGGACACAAAGGGAAACACGAAGACTAGAGAAACGAAAGATGAACTTCATGAGACACAATTTATTAGACCACCTATACTGTGTCGCGTTTCAGGGTGCTGCAGTCGCTTCTGAGGCTTCTGGAGAAGAAGGTGCTAACCTCGTAGACGTTGCTGGGTCCCAGCCATCCGACTGGGGGATTTTCACATCACTGCTCGACCTGACTTGTTTCGTGATCACTTTGGTTACGTATTTCGTACTTATACTGGGATTTATGCCCTGAATCACGTGTCAAGGCGTCCACTGATGAAGTTCAACGCATCTGTCACTTCAGGGATCCCGACAGAAATTGCATGACTCATCGCCAAGCGCCAACATCGTGTTATTTCTGCATTAATCGTATGTGGAATGTGGGGATTGTCGGATTAAATTTCTTCGTAAATTTTCCGGGACTACAGCTCCACACACACACAATAGGCATCCATAAACATATAAAGAAAGTCAGGCCTATGAGATCAACCTGCTAAAAGAAATACACTTAGCTTACCCAAAATTAATTTAACGAAACAGTGAGACGCCTTGCACAAGATATTGGTGTATCAAAATCGTAAGCAGCCAAAGCCATAAAGCTTCAACATCGGCCATACGAAACAACTTTGCAAATTGGTTTCTGCAACTCGTTCATGACGATCAAGTTAACTCTCATTTGACTTCTTTTTCTGATGAAGCGTTGTTTCATTTGTACTTTCATGTTCCTCCCAAAACAACTGCCACTGGATTTCCGTTAATCCATATTTAATCCACGAAGTTCTACTTCATGACGTATAAAGCGTCTGTGCGTGGACTGGGACAACATTTCAGCACCTCTCATGACGCAAGTCAGTCGGCTTTATTGTTATTATGCAGCGACACTAGACCATATCGGGAAAATCTCGTAGCGCTTACCTGTGTTATGCAGTTCCTCCCGAGAGCCGGGATGTGACCGCCGCGTTTAACTTTATCAGTGGACGAATTGTATTTTCCAACAGATTATAAGTGCTGATTGTCACATGGAGTTAGCTTAAATAAACATTGTCTACGTGACTTTGCATAAATGTCCTTGTTTATAAATATTTGATTTGTCCACACAGTCATGATAGTTTAAGGAGATGGTAACTCCGTGAAATAGAATCATTCTTGTGAAGCTGATAGCAGCTCAGCTAGTCAAAGGAACACGTGTTCTGCTAGTGAATACACCATATTCGCCCCTGCACAGATTTTGGGTAACTGGTGTGAGCAGGGGCGTAGCAACAAGGGTGACCTTGACTCGAGTATCACGGGGGACATTCGGAGTGTCTGATGGGCGGGGAATGATCTGCTTCTGACTTCATTTTTGTTCCATACCGTGGTATGTGATTGTTGATGGGTGATGTCCACAGACCAGGAGAAAATCCCCGAGGGGTGAAGTCGTTTCTGGGGCGGTGCAGGGGGAATGTTTACTATCAGGTGGACTAGAGGGCTGCTATTGGTGGGAAGTGCGATACGTCAGAGTTTTACGCTACTACACAGACTGAAAACATCAAGCAGTTAAGAGTAGCGTGTAGTGAGCTCACTTGTAATGTGTTCTGTGGGTGTTGCGATAATATTCTAGATTAAATCGCTGTGCCGCTGTGAGGTAATCTTAAAGCTGTACCCATTAGAACACATGAAAGCCTGTCGTCTGTTGTCCGTACAGTGGTTGTGGAACGAATGCTTTTAGGATGGGTCGTCACTCACTGCGAAATCTTGCACATGCGCGTATATCGAATTCCTAGCAGGGATTTTCTCCTGATCTGTGGATTGTACCTCATCCATGTTTTTAAAGCAAAGTCAGGGCACATCTCAAGAAAATGTGGGGGGGAGACGGAATGGAGGGGGGCAGAGGGGGCATATTTACGTTTTGAGAAATGATCACACCTCTTCCTTAAAATAAATAACAAGAAAAACTTACGTCTCGATCCCTGTTGTTCTCTTCTTCTTCTTCTTCTTTTCCAGCCCAGCATCGCTGGCACTTCTCTGCCGAATGTATCTTTTTTCAGTAGTGGCTTGGTGTGTTGTAATGTGCCGTAATTTTATTGAGTTCTCCTCGAAATTAGCTTTAATTCTCAACACAAATGCGAGTGAATATTAAAACGGTTTTTATCAAGCGACCACAGTTCATTTGCGAGAACTTTCTTTCCACTGGGATAGGTGCACCCGGTATGATACACAAAACACATATTCACCTAAACGAGTGTGTCTGGTTTGAATATAAAAGTCACTGAACTGGCTTAATGTTTCATAATGGACGTCTATCTGCCTCCACTGTCACTCTAAATTCTATGTCCTCACAGTACAGAAATCATCAAACAGTTCATCAACATCTGTGGACGTGTTCGCTATTTCACATTCTGCAAACATAATAATTTGAACTTAAGCATTTCTCCATGCAGAGCACCCAATCAGGTACCAAGTTTTATTTTCGGTGGCCGGCTCTTTAGCTACTTCAGATGCCAAGGCCGATTGCAGCTGCACACACTGTACAGCTTCCATAACCTAACCTAACCTAATCTAACCGATCGTGCAGAAATAGCAACCAAAAATTGCTACTCCCAAGAAAAGACCAGTGTTGGCAATTTCGATTGACAAACTATGTCCCGTCTGACCAATGGTATTGGCCAAATCCGTCCCGTGACCACTTTTAAACCGGCCCGTGAAATGATTTATTAATTTGTTACTAATCTCCACAAGCTCATATATTTTCTTTGCTCTGAAGGATTTGGAAATAAATCTCAATCCTTATCTCATCTGCTGTTTTACTCACAAAAGACACACACGCTACTGACTTCAAAACCCTACCGACCAATAAAAGTTTTCCAGGTAAGAACTGTTACAGACACAAACTGCTGCAAAAGAAGATTTGAAATAAAATTTAGCTCTATTGCAGCTTGTACACATTTCAATAACTTTTATATTTAAACATACGCCACTGTAATTTTTGCTTTCTGAATTAGTATTGTCAATAATTACGAAAATCGATTATTACTTTTCTAGAACAGTGACTAGAGGTCTTGGCCGTTGGGTGCAACGGGAAAAATCTTGGCCCGCCGGAACAAAATAGTTGCCCCATCTTGACCTACGCTGTACAGCTATATACACAGACTGTGCATAACCGCCTCTTCCTTGCCCCCTCAGCTCCCCTCTACGAAGTAAACGTTCACGAAGGCCCTCCGACGAAATCGCGACCTTGGTCAGAGCCGGTAATAAAGACCCAAACTTATGCTGCCATGCTGCAGAAAATACTTGTGAAACAATTCTTTTCAAATGTGTGACTTGAATGTTTAGTTATAAGCCTTTTAAAACATATTTTAATTTGTAGCAGTGGTGAATTTGTATATTTTCAACACCAGTGTTTAACTTGTATTTGGCAAGACATATCTATCGCAACTACTTGTACACGGCCGTGAGCGACGTACCACATCCAATTCTAATTATATCCCTTTCCATTCTGACTATCATTTTTCAATTACATTGGTTTCCCTTGAAGACGTACCCCGCCAAAGCAGTAATTTTGCATTTTTAACTGAAACGTGAATAGCATTGACAGCGATTTCAAATGTTCCCCTTTAATCTTCAATTGGATGAAATTCGGATCACTATTTCGTATTAATTTTACTGACTCTGTTAAATGCGTCCACACTTACGGTAGCAAAATTGACATCAGACAAGTCTTGAGATAATTCTTCATTAGCAGATGGTTCCAGTACGTCTGTCTCAACGGCTTCAATTTGTGTCCGTGCACAAGAAATTTTTCGTTCAAACATACAAAATAAGTTCCGATCAGATGTAAACAGAGTGGAAGGGCAGGGGTCATGTTTAACGCAGTGATATTCGAATGTGGCTTCGCGTCTGCACAGTTAAGCTCGTTTTCACCCAGAGAAATGAACTACATTGCTTTAAAATACCGCTTGAATAGCAGCTTTGTGGTAAAGAATCACAAATGTTGAATAACAGTGCACACATAAAACTCCGTACTTACGTATTTTAGAAATAGAAATTCTTTGCTTTTAGTTTCATTTCAAACACACGTTTTAACATGTTCATGCACACTAACTTTGCACAAAACAGGTAACAAAACACGACACTTCCACCGAAAACCCGGAGCCAACTAACAGACCCCAATCGAAATCGCTGTCCACCGCAACCGACCGGCCAATGAAATAATTGCACCAATAACAAATCTCTGAGCCACGTGTTTCGTTTGCTTCTATTCTCGCTGACAACAAACTCTTTGCCGGTAACAGGCTGTTTCAGAACGAATATCTTCCAGGATAACGAGTTTTGTTATGAGAATAATAAATGCATTAGTGTCACCGAAAATTCGGGGCGTGGTCAGCTTAGTTATGTCTAGCTGACACCCTCATAATCCCTTTCACTAATATCCATCTTAATATTACCGGCTCATGAACAGGTAAAGCATTTCTCATGTTCTGTAATAACTAGCAGTGCGATGTATTTACCTCTGATTAAATAAAAATTATCACAGAACAACTTTTACATCTGTATCAATGTAAGGCCAATAAAAAATGTAACCAGGTCATTTCATTGTATATCATACAAATTGGCAGCCCTCAAATGCTACTTAATATTGTAATCAGCTGCTTTACCTCTGCTGAATTAATAGTATTAGCAGTTCTGAAAAAATGCTGCATATTGAATTTCAGACACAGGTTAGATTTACCTGATCTTTGTAACAAAGCATCTGTCTTGAGCAACAGTACAAAGAACTGTTTCTGGTCGATATTTTTGATTCCTAGCTTGCATGTCTGTCTTACTTTTCCTAATGATTTTTCCAGCTAGTTCAAAAGGTAAAATAAACTCACTCAGTTCAGTACATATTTGACTTGTGTATTCTCCAACAATAAGTTAATACATATTTGATGAAATGCTCCTTAAACCAACCATAACTAGTATCTCAAAATACAAAGGTACTGCTTAATATATAAGCAATCAAACAGACAGTTTAAAAAATGCCAGCGTTCTGAAATTCATTTATTTTGGACAAAGATTGTGTAGGATTAATAGGAATCTGGAGAGGAAAACAGCACTTTGCAATGAGTGTGTTAATTAACATTGCACACCCACACACATCTCCCGCAGAAAAGCACACCTAATGAACAGCCCAAAAATGGGCTTGTACACAGTTTATTTCTTCACAACAAAGAGTCTCTTGAATTAAAAACCAACAGCGATGATTTGTTTTACGTAATTAGCAATTATAATTCAAAGGGATTAAACATTACAAAAGTTTTGCATTCCTGATTCTTTGGGCATGTGTGCGAGTATGCCGTAGTCTGTTAATTATTTTAAACTTAACATAATTTATTTCTTTATTACCTTAGTTCACTGTCATGCTTATATTTTCTTCCAAATCCTCAAAAACATTCTTAAAAAATGTGAGTTCAGTTTTAAAATAAAACACGCCACATTAACATATCAATTAGCTGGGAAAAACCTACACCAAGCATTACCAGCTATTTCATATTTATTTTCAATATCAACAGTTTGTGTGTGCATCTTCAGTTCAATCAAATTACTTCACAAATAACAAGAACCTGGTACAGATTCTTGACAAATTCATGTTTGAGAGCTGGATATGATTGAATTCCATATTAAGTCATCAATACTACATGAAATCATCATAATCATCATAATCCCCATAAGAATATTCGTTAACAATGGCCTGAAACAACAGAAAATAGCGAGTTAGGAGTATAACATAAATTATGTGACTTAACACCAAAATAAACGAACAAACCGCACTGAATATATATTTCATAATGTAAGCAGTAATTTGACAACTTAAACATTTTTTTCAAACCTGTAAGTGGAAATTGTATTTTGTTTTCTCACAATTCAAACAAATTACAGTGAAACATTCATTAAAAGAGCAAAATCCAGAGACAATTTCTTTAACTCTCTTGCAATCAGTCATCAAATTCCTAATTTAACCCGGGACCCCACGATTACAAGACCAGCATTCTAACCGCTAGGCCACCGTGGACATTGCCACTAACCCTCCCTCACGCGCATTCCACAGCTCATCTCTCAGCGAACGACTAATAAACGTTAACCATCCTGACAAGACATGAGTTAACCAGACACATGCAAAAAAGGAGTTGGATGATGACTGATGGTAAAGTTGGCCATTTAATGTCATGCCACTTCCGCTGCTACCAGATTCAATCCACAAACTAAATTAGTTTTTAGCTTAAACAAGAAGAATGTTTTCTTTAGTTTACGTTACATATTTCATCACTTCAAAATGAAATTTCCAACCACTGATATGTTAAATTTGGATACTGCAAAGGTAGTCCCAAAATACAGTAAACTTCCCAAGTTTCAAAGCAAAATAAGAAGTGTTTTCTGTTCAAATAGAGACTGTAAAAATGACACCTCTAAACAAGGACCTACACATAACAAAGACAATCCCGTGGTCCAGCAAAATACAACACAATACATTTCTACTTTTATACAATGAACTCCCAACATAACAAATACAGTCAGACCTACCAATAAAACATAGTAGCCTACATAAGTTACCACCTCCACCATACAAACCTGGTATTAGCAGTTTTGCATTTTGTCGTTCCGTTTCCAAAATTTAAAAAGCTTTTCATTTCTGACTATAGACAACAAAGTTAAGTATCATGTTTAAAAATTTTACTTACATGTTCACCTTCAACTTTAAGTTTAACTTTTCCTTTTCCTTTGCTTTTCTTTGCCTTATCCCCCTTCTCAGCTTTAGATTTCTCTAGGAACATATTCTCTACCGTCGTTTTTAATTTCTTCAGGTCATATGATCCTACTGTAAAGACAAACAAGGGTTAAAATGGATATGAACATGAACTGTGCCATATGTAAAAACTGAATCCATTTATTCGTATACTCCACAATCAGCCAAATAAGGTCAATTACAGCCAAGCATTAAAAACAGCAGTAAAACAAATAATATAATATACAAATGACATTAAATCAAATAACATTTAATAAAAAAGTCATATGTGCAACAAAAACCCACATAATATGGAAATTCTAAGAATAAGTAATGTTATAAAATCTGTTAGCAAAATATAATCCTTTTTAATAATGTCTTCTTGATGGAAAGACCTTTAAATTGTGATTAACCATAAATGCAGAGTAATTTCTAATTATCCTAATAGGTATACTGGCAGAATAAACAAAATAAGATTTCTGTCTTCTGGGTTGTCGCACTGTGTAGTCTGGTCGACGTTAACCAACGTTTCAGAGGTCATACTGCCTCCGTCATCAGGGCGATGGTTAACATCTATCAGACTACACAGCGCAACAACCCAAAAGACAGAAATCTTCATACTCACTGCTGTGAAAACCTGAAATCTTACAGAAACAAAATAAGCAACTAATTTTTTCTTTTAAATACTGAGCGAGCACAAAAGAATCTTAAACTTTCAAAATGGTACATAAAACTAATGTTGTGTACCTAAAACTTGACACCTACAACAGCTAATTGGAAAACTCTCAAAGTTTTGTACACACCTCACAGAGACTCGATGTGTTCTCTGCAAGTCACATGACAACCCAAATCGTCCCAAACTTTGTACAGACCGTCCAAAGTGATGAAAGCTATGCAAAGATTGTGGCATAAATGGATAATGGGCTGGGTGGTTCCATATGAAAGTGTGCAAAATGCACAGATGTTACAGACTCTTTCTTCCCTAACTGCATAACACACCAGCTTCTATGTTGCAAGGTAGCCATTTTCAAAACAAGTGGCATCTAGTGGAGGCGTGCAACATAAATAACCACCCAGGCCACTTTAAACAAAACTTCGAGAGTTTTTCTATCAACTGGTGTGGGTGTGAAGTTCTAAGTACCCTACATGTTTTTTGTATCATTTTGAAAGTGTACGATTTTTTGTGCTCACTCTCTACATCAGGGGTAGCCAACCCGCGGCCCGCCTTGAACATTTTTCCGGCCCGCGAGATTCATCACACTTTTACAAAATATATTTATTTTATAATGGCCAAAGTAGTGAAAACCAATGTATTATGTAAAAACACGCTCAAACATAATGGACGCTAACCTGCAACACCAATTACGATGTGCAAATACCCAAATTGAGATCGATTTGCAAAAGCTAAGTGAAAGAGTGGAGAAACAAATATCGCACTAGTAAAATAAATATTTTTTAATGATTTCATTATTTTTATTTCATTCATATTTATATATTTTTTATATTTAATTTTTAGTGCTATATATTTCTTTACAATGTACGCTTAGTATCATTATTATTATATTATCTATGTTTACATGTAAGAATAATAGTAAACACAATAATAATAACTCATTATGTTTCAATTTTTCACTCCAAAAAAATGTCTATAGTGTATCTAAATCTAATATGGGGATATATAATTTTATATGTGGCCCGCGGAGTTATGATGCATTTCCAAAGTGGCCCGAAAGATCATTTGGGTTGGCCACCCCTGCTCTACATCAATAATTAAAAGTGCTTCTTGATGCTGCCTAGAATAAAGTGCTGAAAGATTCAGTCTGGCTGAAATAATTTCATGATTACTGCAACATACACCCACAAAAAAATCTTCAAATTTTCTTTGAACTCTTTCAAGTTAGGGAAATTCATCGGTATACCGAGTTTCAGGCAATAGATGCACATTCCAATTTTGGTCATACAAGGGTGGAAAACAAAATACACAGGCTATATAGTGAGTGGAGAAAACAAGATAATATAATGAATAAAACCAACATTTTTAGTTCTTGAGAAAAAATGTAGTCAGTGTGGTGACGAAAACAGAGGTCTTAGTCGAACAGAACTCCAAGAACTCTGACACACTGGGAAGGTAAAATAATATTATTACACAATTTGAAATTACAATTAACACCAACAATCCTGTGCATAAAGGATATAATAGTTTTGCCAACATTAAGTTCACCCTTCCCTTCTCGTCTGAATTTTCGCTGTGTGTGTGGTGATGTGTGATGATGCCTGTCATGTGATCTCTCACGATTTTCATGGCGGTTTGTGTGTGCTGGTCGCAAATCAATCCTGAAGAAAATTAGGCAAATGTTTGAGATCTGGTCTTAATAGTTTAACGAAATGTAAGAAGCAAGCTTCATGATATAGGGCAGTGGTCCCCAACCTTTTTGTGCCCACGGGCACATTTGAGAGTTTATGAGATTGTGGCTGGCACCAGCCAATTAACAAAGCCAAATTTTCTTTTCTCTGGACAAATAAGATATGGACACCAAATAATACACAAAACAACATGACGTTTAATGATACAAGAAACCACGCAATCAAAAATACATAGTTTTATAAGTACAATTATTATTACTCAAGTGGGAAGTTAGTGTGATGTTTAGCACTGCATTTCATCGGCCAGTTTTTCAAATTTGGGAGTGTAGGATGATGTTGCCGCTTGCAAACAATCGTCAAGATGGGCGTCAGTAAGTCGGGATCTGTGCTTTGATTTTATAATGTTCATGGTTGAACGGCCTCCAATATTCAGTATAACCTCTTTCCGTTACAACGCGGGCAACCAAAAGTAGCCTTGGCGGGCGCTGCATTGGGGACCACTGATGTAGGGAATCAAACATGGACAATAATAAATTATTAATTTCACTACATCTTACAATTATTACATAGGGAATGCTTCTGCCAACTGCGTTGCTTGCTATAAATGATGACCTGGCTAAAAGTGTCCGTACAATCCAAAATGTATGGGGTAATAAATAAAATCTTTCACAGCTTCAAAGAAGTTCTTATGCTACAAACTGTATCACTTGGAGTAAATGATATTTCAGAAACTACCTCTATGCATCCATCATCAGGGACTTGCATGAAGTAACAGGAATAAGAAAGCAATATTAATAAGTAAGATTTAAGGTTTTCACAGCAGTGAGTATGAAGATTTCTGTCTTCTGGGTTGTTGCGCTGTGTAGTCTGGCAGACGTTTACCAACGTTTCAGAGGTCATACTGCCTCCGTCATCAGGGCAATGAGTATGAAGATTTCTGTCTTCTGGGTTGTTGCGCTGTGTAGTCTGGTCGATGTTAACCAACATTTCAGAGGTCATACTGCCTCTATCATCAGGGCGATGAGTATGAAGATTTCTGTCTTCTGGGTTGTTGCGCTGTGTAGTATGGTAGATGTTTATCAACGTTTCAGAGGTCACACTGCCTCCGTCATCAGGGCGATGAATCGCAGTATGACTTCTGAAACATTGGTAAACATCGACCAGACTGCACAGCGCAACAACCCAGAAGATAGAAATCTTCAATATTAATAAGGTAGGAAAATAAGGAAAGAAAGTCAGTTATACGTGTGTAAATCGATGGCTACCACAAAGTAAGACAAGAGAAGTCGCCCACTCGCAAACAGAATCACTGGAAACTATTCTACTGGCACTGTGATATTTCAGCAAATGATATAATGAAAGTATAAACATCTTACTTTCCTGTAGGTCGCAATAAAGTTCAGTCCGTATATAACGACCAATGGTTTCACCTAATCTAACACAGTGCATACCAGGCGAAAGAATTCTTGTGATTTATGCACAACACACTGTGGGCCTGTCTTCGGAATTCTTGTGTTCTGTACAGAAGTCTTTTCAGTTTCACCTTAATTTCTTCATGTCCCATCACTTCTCGTTATTCCTTAATAAACTTACTCCATCTGCCACTGCTTGTTCCTTGTTCATTTTGCTTGGATCACACTAACGCTCATTTCAGTAAATGTGACTGCTTATTTCAATAAACATCAAGCTTTTTCACGATAATATATATTCATGACAATATTCTATAAAGAAAATTCCTTTTGGTCAGTCAAGATGGAAGGATGGAGGTTTTATATGGTGAATAATAGGGGCCAATTTTGCAAAGAGTTTTTGCGCAGTTTTAAACCAAATGTTACGACAAAATGGTTAGCAACTTTGCTTCGTACATGGCAGGTTCTGGGATCAAAATTCAGCCCAAAGACCAGCTATCCTGCCTGAGGTTTTCTGCGGTTTACCTCAGTCCGTAGAGGCAATTCATTAATCATCGTATGATCTGACACCACACAGCCTGAACTACTGACATCATTAAATAAATCATAAATATATAAAATGGTGGTATACTAAGCAGTCTCTGGTGGCAACTTCCAGATTCAAAAATGTTAGAACTTCAAATATTTTTCAAGCCTGAAAATTTTCTCACAGTATAGGTATGAAAATAATTCAAAATAGATTTTGATGTGATGTGAACACCCACATCAGAAACATAAATGAAGCACGGTTATCTGAATACAACCCTATAAATTACAGTAATCATATAAAAATGTACAGATAGGTCTTACCACAAATCAGGTACCTATAACCGAGTTTGTCCAAAATGTAGATTCAATCATTTATTTTCTGCTGTAACTAAGCGCTAAATTACGTTGATTTCATAAATCATTTTCTTTCTCTGTTGTCAATTTTTCATTAGTGTACTTACGATTTACACATATATTCCGAATCAAGTCTTCTGCAAACTCTGAAAAATGTGGTGACTTCATGTACAACTGAATTTTTTTGGATATTGCTATTTGGAGCTCATCAAATTCTTCCTTACTGCTTGGATTCATTGCATCTATACCCGTATTGGCGCTGGTTTCGGGAATACCTACAAGAACCAAAAAAATTTTGCCTTCAATGACAGGGAAATTATAAAGAAATATTCTGAAGCTAGGATAGCCAAGCCCCACTTAATGGTACCCACACCTTGTCATGGTGGTGGGTCTTGAGTACCTCAGTGATCCCAAGAGCTAGGCTGGCGGTAGCATAGCTACTGGTAGGGTCTCCCTAGCCAGATTGTTCGAGGGGGAGAGGTCGGACTAAGATAGGTACCCTGGTTCTCCAGGTTGGGGGTTGGTAGCAAAGCTAACAAATTTGCACCACAAAAAGGAAGATGTCTCGAAACCTCAATCAAAGCCTCGGACATACGGACCTAACAGGATAGGACCGAATAGAAGAGGAGAATTGAGGAGGCCATGGACCGAATACGGACTGGAGAGCCATAGAAGAAGAAGATCAGGGTTCCAAAAGATTGGATCCCTGCAGGCTTTGTACCACTTATACTAATATTACATGTTTTATAACATGTCACTATTCAATTTCACATGTCCAGTCACCATCATACTAAAACATGAAGATGGCTGTCTTCTGGGTTGTTGTGCCGTGTAGTCTGGCAGAAGTTTACCAACGTTTCAGAGGTCCTTGCTGCCTCCATCATGAGGGCGCATAAACCCAGAAGACAGCCATCTTCAGACTTACCTCAAATCCTACATACTAAAACATATCACATGTTTACCATGTTATTATAAAGAATTTTTAATCATACCTAAGAAATACCAAGATGAAAACGTCTTCACAATGGATTTCATAACATTTTAACAATTCTGAACAGGTAATGACGTGAAAGATTCTCATTATCCTTGCTGTGGTTAACCTCACCTGTCCACCATTCTGAACAAGCTTTGAGCAGAGGTGGATTGCGCACTTTTCCAAAAATTATTTCAACAAATACAAAGAAACAAACATAAAAGTACAGAATATAACTTTCTAATGAGAGTTCCAAAAAGAAGCCCGGATGATGCAACACCATGAATATTCCAGTGCTTGCAGCTTGCAAGATAGGTATTGTAAAAAAAGAAAAATTGTTGCCAATTCTACGCACAAACAGGGGATCTCCGCACAATCTAAACATCATCAGCACCAGACAGAGGTTAGCTGCCAGCTTCACAGCCAAATTGATTTAGCTACAGCAAAATAAATACAGGGAATCCAATTTGTATGCTGATTGGCTGGCTAGAAACTCATTTGTCTGCACCAGTCCACTGCTTCCTGTCAAACATCGGCTTCGATGCCCAATGCTTGCTGGCATTTTGATTGAGCTGCTCGTTTAGCATGGTTAGTTTTTCTTGAGATAAAAACAAATACAGTTCATAGCATATAAAATTTTGTGTACGAAAATTATTCATTTGATAGTATTCTTTATGGAGGAAATGCTGCAGAAAGTTTCTTAGGCAGTATTGTGACAGTACAGCGCCGCTTAAGGCATCAATTTACAGTATCATAACAAAACTTACATTTTACGAGATCAGCGCTGGACAAAAATAAGTCTCAAAAAAGATACACCGACCGAAGAAAACTGGATGACATTAGGACAAGTCTGAAGACGTCATCATGTCAGTGTGGGTTGGCAGAATAATGGAGGACAATTCAGCCCATGTCTTTTTACAAACCAATTAATTCCAAGTGTTATTTAAGATTAAATCTGTCGCTCTTCTTCGGTCAACTGACTGATAAAAGAAAAACTGTACAGGCATTTTTGCAAGATAATGCAACAGCAAACAATTCTGTGGTTTACTTAAATAACGTCTTCACTGAATGAGTTATAAGGCCTGTGGCCTTTGAAATCACCTGATTTAAATACTACCGACCTTTATTTGCAGGGTACGCTGATATAAGTGCATATGAACAATCCACTCTTTGGAAGAACTTAAAGCAAATATCAGGCATGAATTTCTGTTATTCCCATACAGCAACTTCAACATACGTCAATAAATTTATTCTGACTGAGGCATGCTTAGAATCTTCTATAAAATAAGTGAAGTTGATATGTAGCAGAAACACAGGCTGTTAATAATCAGATGTCACAGAAAGCAGTGAAGATATATCGGAAATATCTATGTACTAAAGACCAATGTTCTACACTCAGAAATAGGGGAGTTACACACGTACACATCATCGCTTGACTACCAGGCCAACTACATCTTCTTCGTCCTGTGGCTCTACAACCCAGTGTGGGTCTCAGCCGCCTCGTTTCAGAGGTTTCTTTATCCATTTACTTTTTTAGACATTTGGTAGGGACTTCTTGGACGAGAGATCAGCCCACTGAAAGGCCTATACTAAAGAAGCGGGTGAGAAATGGACGCTCAATTTTGCATACGAAACATCTCGTTCATGCTTGTACAGTTCTTTTATATGCCTTAAATCTATGATGTGGGACCGCCGGCTAAAACTTCCCTTACAAAGGAAGTCGTGCTACGGATTTTTATCACCCTTAAGAATTCGTCGACATCGGCCGGGTTTGAACCTGAAAACCTTGAGTCCAGTGGCGAGCACACTACCGCTAGACCACCGAGGGTGACAGGCCAACTACATCACAAGTATTTACTTAATTCTTGCATACTCACTCACCATATTAAGTGAGACAGAATGAAACAAGTTCCCATATACGAGAGAAGAGAGGGAGATAATACGTTCTATTACAATTTTGCTCCCTTCTGTAGTAAAACTTACAAACAAAATTACGTCAGCCAGATGATAAATAGCAACTTTAATTTTTAATATATTTTAAAATATATAAAATGAAAGACTGGCAGCACTAATTAAAGACTTTCTCATAATCAAAAGCATACATCTAACAAAAACTTACACACAAATATTGAAAAATGTAATTTTAAAAAAAACTCTCAATTGAAAAAGGAATGTCCTGTGTCTACGGGAGAAAATAAATACTGCTCTATTCCAGTGGTGCTTACAAGTATGAATTAAATCAAGAAACAGTGAAATAAACACACCAAAAGTCTCGAGAGCTACCCGCAAATCAGATTCTTCCTGCAACTTCTGCTGAAGCATTTTTTCTGCAAGTATTTCCTCTGCTGTTAATTCCTCTTTTTCTTCTTCTCTTGCTTTCACCTTCCTCTCTGCATCTTCACGGAGTTTTTGCTGCAATATACCGAAATCACCATGAAATCCACATTGCGAGACGTTTAATGCATCAATTACTATAAAGAAGTTCTACAATAGCTTGCGCCAAATAAATATACCTTGGCATGGGGCATGAAAAGTCAACAGACTTCACTACTCCACCTCACCCTCTCTTCCAACATCAAACTTGCTGTAATATCATTCTACTCACAGCCGCAGTGCTGTTAACATTATCCAACGGTCCAGGTGCCTAAAAACTCATTCACCTTATGCCATGCTGATGTGGCAGCACTGCTCTGAAGGAGTTTACTGAGGTATTCACTGCCCAAAATTGAATAATGAATCTCCAAAGAGACTTACAGGATATGTCAAGTCAGATGGTCAAATGTGAATTAAAGGAATAAATATAAAGGTATGGCACAAACTTCTGGCACATTTGCCATAATTGATATCTGACCTTGAAAATGGCATGAATGATGTCAGTTGTCTGGGCTAAAAGCCTCGCACCACCACAAACAGTACCTACACCTCTGCCAGCAGCCCATAAGAAATGGACTTTCTTGGGCAAGAGATTTATAAAACTTCCAAATATCAAATGTCATTAAAAGCCATTCAGAAATTCTGAAGTTGTTACATGCGTACAATCAGACGGAAAAAAAATATTTTAACAGGTGCCCTGCGGGGATGCAAATGCATCTATATAAGCTGCATTTTGGAGATGCTTCCAAAACTTGCACAAACGATGAAACAAATTAAATATTTATCAACAGTAAACAATCTAGAGCCGGGATAGCTCAGTCAGTATAGTGACTAGCTACGGGCTAGACGATCGGGGTTCGATCCCCGACGGGGGCAGAGGATTTTCCCTCTAGCCTCTGCGTCCAGACCGGCTCTGGGGCCCACCCAGCCTCCTCTACAATGGGTACCGGGGTCCTTTCCCGGGGGTAAAGCCGGCCGGGGAGTGATGCTGACCACTCACCCCCATCCAGTGCCGAGGTCAAGAAAGAGTATGAGCTATACCTCCACTCACCCCAAGCTACCTACATGGCGTGTAGCGGGACTGCTTTACGTTTTACAGTAAACAATCTAAAGCAACGCTTAAAAGACTCCTTTTCACTCAGAATTTCAACTTGGTTGGTAAATTTCTACAGTATCCATTCAGGGTTATAGGAGGTACTATTTTCTTACCAACTGTATATACTGATAATAACAATGAAATGAAGATTAACTCAAGAAGCTTGTGCCAGCTCCTGTCAATGTCACAACTTCTTAGCTTGGTGTGTGCTATGGGGCATTTTGAAAACCCTGAAGAATGGCTACAGAGTGACGCGGCTGAAGCAGGCTTCCAGCAAGACACTGTCACGGCCCACATGAAAAAAAGGGGGGAGGAGGATAGCAGTGAAATTTATGTTGCTATGAGGAGTCCAAATTGTTCACAAATACAAACAATTATTACGAAGTATTTCTCAAGATAATGCCAGTTGTGAAAAAAGTAACGCAATTTATGAAGTTCTCTGAACGCACCAAACAAATTATTTTAGATTATCCACACTTTTTATTATTTGTGCATCTTCTCCCTTTCATTACATTACATGGTCAGGAGTTTACTGTAAAAATTGGACTCTCAAAATTTTGTTCTTTACAGCCACCATGGTGTCCAGCAGTGGATTCTAGGGGAATATAATTGTATGCTTGGATGTGTGTATGTAAGAGAGAAATATGCATCAGAATTTGAAGCTACCGGCTGTTAAACTACCAGAATAGACTCTGAACCCAAAGGTATCAAACATTTCACAAATATAATCTGCCCTCAACTTAAAGTTATTCCCAAAAATTTTAATTTTTTTCCAGTTTCAAAGAATTTGGTCTAATAAACACAAATAAAACATATTCCATGACAAATCCCATAGTCATCCACTTCTTTTGACAGCTGGTAGTAATGACTACAAAATATCTTCAGAGACTGATCACCACAATGTTACAGAAACATCAAGTGTTAGATGCAACTTACTTCTTTCTCTTCAATTTTTTCTGCTAATGCTTTCTTGTTCTTTTTCGGCAAGACGGGCTTTGCAGTTTCCTGTTTTTCTACATCCTTCTTCTCTTCTTCCTCTTCATCTTCCCAGTTATCCTGTATCAAACAATTCATTTAACATTAAAACTGCATGACCTAGTTTCATAATGCCTACAAAATCCTCAAGAGGATAACAGAAAAAATAATACATTGAAAAATACAACATTTATAAGGTAGTTAGGGCTAAAAGAAACGCATGGGTTGTCATTACAACAAGAGGTACAAATCTAATTTTAAAATGACTGACAGCTGTTCAGCAACGATCAGTTCAATATGCAGGCCACAGGGCTTCATCCACAGATCAACGACTTTCATGTACGCATTTACATAGTTTTCTATTACCCAGAGTTTCAGCGACACACAATAGGCACATTCATTAATAAATCACTTTAGTGCCACGCACTTTTACGTCTTCGTCTTCATCCTCTCCTTCCCACTTATTGGCACCCACAGAAGGCGCCGTTTTAATTTCTTTCCGTTCGAAAGTGTCAGCATCTGCAAATAACAGTTGCACCAATTAGTCCTCTCATTATAATGTCTTTTACAGTATCCTATACTACATACCGACGGTCAAAACTTACCCCATTCTTCGTCCATGTTCACAAGTTCACGTGAACAAAAATGTGGTCTGTAGCGGATGTGATAATCTAACACTAGATAGCAATACTATCCTGCACAGAAACAAATCAGATTTACAACGTCGCAAAGGCAGGAAACAAATTATAATTAATTACTTCAACAGAGTAACTCCCAATTATGTAAATTTAAAGAACGAAAATTTTCAAATGTACCAATACAGTGTGACACCAGAAAATACGGTGTTGAGTTAAAGTACCAATAAACGACGGCCGCCATATTCTATAACGTTCAGGTATATCCACCGACAAATGGGAACGTAGAAGCGCATTCCAGTGTGATTGGTCGGAAGCACACTCATTACTGCCATCTATAGTTCTCAACCTCAACTTAAGAAATTACTAGAAATTATATTATCAGATCAATGTATGTAAAATTGAAAAGAAAATAATTAATTTACGTTCACGACTGGGAGATTCGTGAGACTTGTGGTTCTCACGGTGGTGAGAAATCTTGGTTTTCTGGGTTATAATGTCATGTGGACTTGTAGGTATACCAATCCTTCGGAGAAACATACTGCCTGTTTGTCTGGAATATTGGTATCTGTACCTTATAAGTCTACATCGGGTTGCAGCACGGAAGATCAACGACATGGAGGAATTCACACACCAAATAAGTTAATCGACATAGCCAAATAATAATTCGAATCAAACTGGTCTCTCTCTCTCTCCCGTGAATTATATACATAGTCCGTGGGTGGTAAGTTCCTGCGACGTATGTGGCCTGGGAAGTCACGTCCTGCATTACTATCAAACCGAAAAACGTCGAGCTTCCTATAATTTGACTCGAACTTTTCTTGTAATACTTTGATACACTGGAAGTTACAAAACAACCAGTAACAGTAAGAGAAAATGTTGACAGTGGAACCATGGTTCTGGAGAATCTGACGTAAATACGTCTCTGTAATGTAATAATTCTTACATAAGATAAGTACTTGTGATATTCTAAAACGTTTTTACCAGCACAAAATTATCTACTCTACGACGCACTTCTTCTACAACCGATTCACAGCTCAGCCATTTCCGCAATAACGAAAGCGGATTGTTGACGGCAGTAATGTAACAACACAATGCCGAGTAAACATAACGTTTCTTAGGTAACATAACTGCATGCAAGCTGACCATTGTTGATATGGATCTTACACGTTTTCCTTTCACTTCTTTGCCGAATGACCCTTCCGTATAGACTTATTTACATCAATAATATAATAGTGATACTATTATAACCGTCCACTCTCTTCATTTCTTGTAGAATAAAGAAGTAACAATTGACTTGAACTCAAAGTATACTTTTATTGTGTAGTTTATTTAAAATACACACTTATACAAGTTTTTGATCTTATTCCTTGAAGATACTCTCTACTACTGCCTCACTAGTCTCATTCCTTCAAGAGACCACACACGAGTCCCGCACCGTCTCTTACTTATTACAATCACCTCTTTGTTCTGTAATAAGTTTGGAAGTGCCTGAAGTGAAGTTGGTGATCGGCTTCCTTAGATGTTGGTAATATTTTGTAGGATTGGCGGATAAGTTGAAATAGCAAAGTATTTCAAATGTAGAAGACTGTCAATATCAAGACAAGATAAGGTTGAACAGTTGGTTTACTCAAAGTTAACACTATAACCTCATGACCACCATCTGATGACGTGAATTGGGGTAATGGAAGTTTATATATGATATCAAATAAGGTGGGGTTTTTGGTGGGGTGAATGATCAATGGTCATGAGGTATGATGTCATTCTCCTTATGAGTGCGACCCCACTCATGAGGGGTGATCTCGTTACAGGCAGTGGCATCATAAGGAAAGTGTTTTATCACTACAAGAGGCACAGTTATAAGCTATATGGGCAATATCAATACCAGACCTAACATTAGCAACTACAACGTAACGCTTTCATATTACATCTGCTTAATATCAATAAGTGGAATAGGGACCTATGTTACAGTTCGAAGGAATTCCACCCCAGCTCGCTCATGCAGCTTTAATCCACAGAACTCCACTACGCAATCATAAAAGAATTTGATATAAGAATAATGAAGGCAGTGTCCGGACAGTTACACCATGGACAGTTGAAAGCAACACAGACATGAGAAGAAATATCTTCTACTAAAGACGAATGTTCTCAACTCAGGAACAAAGGAGTACGCATTCGAAGAAAATCACTTGACTACCAGCCCGCCTACGTCATAGGGATCTCGTGTCTTCCACCTGTGACAGTATTCTCTGTATATATTTCAAAGCCATGTTACATTTCTTCATTTAAAATTTTGCGGTGAAGTTTAAAATGGGCGGAAGGAGTGTCAGAACTTCTTGAAAATCAGTTCCGTTAATCAAAATTCTTGCATTTGATATTATATTGTATTATGTATTATAGTTGCAACAACATTATTAAATAGCCTAAGAATCCATTCTTACACAGTTTTTCTGGGGATATTCCACAAAACAAACACATTAAAACTTGTATATTTCTATGTCATGCTATCAAAATACATCAAAGTGTCAAAAATGACAAAAAATATGGCAGCATCAAAAATATTATTCTGAAACAAATTTACACTGGAAAACAATCAAAGCTCTTAGTAATTTATCCTACAGAGTGGCTCATTACTTTATTACAGCCTTATCATTAGATGATTGTGGTCATGTTTCCCAGATCTCTGGAATACATCAGAATCAAAAGTCCAGAGGAATAATCCATTCAATCTGGAAGCTTTATGGATAAAAACCCAAAATTGTCATTCTTCAGTCACAGAAGATTAACTTCAATGTCTGTCGCTGAATTTATTATATTGGTGTTAAATATGCTTAGATCTAAAAAGACAACCCACATTCAGCAGTTACATAAATAATCTGGATTTACTGAGACCATTTTTCATTGTGGGTAATGCCTCCAATTAGATCAAGCAACAGCGTGGCGTATTCTTAGGCAAGATAAGCTGCCAGCGTCTCACTCTACAGTCATGCCATAAGAAAGCCGCAAATGAAACTATTTCATATGTACAGCTTCTGACAGGAAATAATTATGTTAATGAACTTTATTTGTTAACCAAGATCTCCTGGTCTTAACTGTCTTTCTCCTTCATGAAGGAAGATGCACATTGCACGATACAATAAATATGTCCCAAGCATTCGTTTCTGATGTGATGTCCACGTGGCGGCTGCACCATAATATTCACCGCATCGTGCATTCTTCAAGTTCCGTACGTCAATTGCATCCATCATTGATGCTTCATGCGTGTATGCTTCTACTGGTATTACATTCTGGAACACATGGAGGCACACAACACCCATTCCTGCCTTCCAAATGTCTAGAATAAACTGCACTTTCTGGTTTGTTTTCCCCACTGTCTTCTTGTTCCAAACAGCAAACGCTTGGTATAGATGAGAATAAGGTCTCGAACGCTTACCCTTTCCTATGTAGAAGACAGAAGACAAAAAAGTGGACCAGGTCTGAGACTCACTAAGAAATTCTGCACGACACGGAAGATTGTTAGTGATGCGTGGATCTAGCAATAAGTATGTGAAAGATGATTTCGTAATGCCCTCTCGCCAGCGCCGCAATGGTTCTGGCTGTGAAAACTGTTGTGCCACATCTTTTTCAAGTCTCTGGTAATCCGGCAACCATTTCTGCCAGTTAAAATCTTGTATTGTGCGCTGCAGTTCAGGGCTATAGACTGAAAAGCATACAAAAGTTTATTTAATATAAAAAGTTAATGACAATTTTGTAAATGCTGAAGCAAAGTCATGATATCCATATTGAGTTAAAATACTTCAATTTCCTTTGTTTTAAACTTTCATCCCTCAAAACTAACTTTCCTACAGTAAATACAAACAATTTTTAATTAAATATTTAGATTATTGGAGTGTAAAGCTGATCACTTGTCCATCAGATGCCTAGGTTAAGAATCATGAAGCTTTACCTCCACTCTCCCATATGTCTTCAGGGTGCGGTACTCAAGTACAGAGAAAACATATTATGCCACTGGATTAACCACTAATTATCAAGGTATACAGTCCCGCGCCGTAGCCGCGCGGTCTGAGGCATCATGCTTCGGACCGATGGTATGGAATGCACGCTGGTTCGAGTCTCGGGAAAGAAACTTCTCATGAGATTTTCGACTGGTGTATGGGACCGGTGCCAACCCAGCATTGTGAGGAAATTGGGGAGCGTAATCCGGTCATGGAAAGCTAGCAATGGCTGGGGGTTCATCGTGCTGACCACACGTCACCCTATATCTGGTTGGATGATCGTTCACCTCTGCTTAGGCATGTGAACGTGAGGCCAGCAGTCAGCTAGTCGGCTTTGGTCCTCTGGGGCTGTTACGCAATGGATTTAATTTTTAATCAAGGTATACAGGGAACACGCAAGTAAAGTTTACACATTTTACATGAAGGTCACCAGACAGCTTCACACTTCAGCTGCCTTACCCTCTGAGAAATAGCCCCCCATACACATTGGCCAGTCTGGGTAAGAGGAAACTCCTGCTGCCACTGGTAATCAAACTTGTTATCCAGCTCATAGCTAACCTAACGCTACAATAGGACAGTTTGAAAGGACCAGAATTTTAACTAGTGGCCAATAACCTAGTAAATTATGGCTCTGGTGATTTATTGCTGTGTAGTATTTTTTGTAATTAGTGAATTTCGGCAGTAATGCACATGAGATCTCAATATGCCAATAGTTTCAGCTGTGAACTATACAGAACAGTACACAGCTGAAATCACATTTTTCATGCATAGCGCTTTCTACAGATAAAGGCAGTGGCCTCAGCTGTGCCCACATAGGAGAGAACGACATTCTTTAATTTCTGACGATAAATAAACCAATAAATTTAAGTTAGAATAAAAAGTTTATCCTTATTTTACCTTCTGTCGTTCCCATAAATATTTACATTTTTACTGGGCAAAGGCGGTTGTGATGTACTGTTACATACTGCCAGGAAAAATGCCCTGAGTCTGCATAATTTAAAAAATAAATGTAATTTTTTTTCTAACCTTTGGTTTCAGCTGATATTTGAATTGGTTTCCTCTGAAGTCTGAGCAGCTTCCTCAGGTACAGTCTTTTAGTTGTAGGAACTATAGGACCAGGGATGTAACCATTATCTTTCAGCTTCCCTCGCAGTACGTCCGTATCATAATCCAGACTCGATGGAATTGATGTGTCAGATGAAGTGGACTGCCCTACAGAAAGTATAGAAAAATTATACATTGTCTTCTTTTATGAACAATATTCGCTTTCCCACCCTCCCAAAACTCCACGAGAGTGACATTTTGGAAAAACACAACATGCTATGAAAGGTAACTAAAAAGAGGAGTTTTATGTGAGGATATGTATAAACTGCATGTGAAAAATGTAATGTAGAAGACTTTGTATATAGGTTGCACTGCTACATCGTGATAAAATTTTATACCAAGAATGCTTATCAGAGCTGCTTCATGGGCAAATAAGCTACATGATTATTATGATAAATGTGCAATAAAATGAAAAATATTTCAGATAAAAATTACATTTTTTAATAAAATATTTTATGACATTAAATGAAATACAAACCATACATACCTGTATAGCATACTTCATCTTGCGGCCTGGAAGGTGTGGGTGGATCAGCTGTTTTGCATTCTACCTTTTCAGGCCGAAGATCTGAAATACTGATAACACAAAGTAAACAAATACATGTTCCTTATGTTTTGTTTGTTTGTTTGTTTGGCCTATAATTCACAAAGTAGAAAGATTTACAAAATCTAATTCTCCCCCAGGTACAAGTTTCATACATTATGTAAGAAAACAAGAAAGAGAAAAATGTGCAAATGTGTAAATAATTTTAAACATATCTTCCTACACCCTCTCCATACAAAACTGTATTATGTGTCTCATACTGAACACAGCAATGACTACAATTCAACACAAGTTCCTAAAAAAAATACTATTTTAAAACTAACAACTTTTCTTACATTTTCCTTCTTGCCAGAAACTAAATACTTTGCACTGAATGTTCCTTCCTGGGCTTTTTTTTTCTCCCCACTCCCTCTAATTAGGGTAGTCAATTATATTCATTCCATGTTGTACACATACATATAACCATCCGACAATACTGGGCATCTATTATTTTACGGGCCGTTATGCATATCTTAAAGTTATGAATACATCTATACCACATCTATTACCACAAAAATTATTGTATTGTAAATAAAAATGTTTTATATGCTAGTAGTAATTAAATTCAAGGTATTTGTTCCATACAATGTGAAACAGATAGGGTTTTGGCTCCTAGAAAATCATCTGCTCTTTTATTGGTCAATGAATCAGAAATGGTTTGGAACCACAGTTTTTATAGATTTGTTGTAACAGTGTTGAACCTTATGAGTCTAAACATAAAGAAGTGCAAGAGGTTACTTCCAAATCCCTCTGTATTCACCATTTACATTCAAGTCTCAGTCGGCCTGCAGTCAAAACACCATCATTAAGTAATCTAAGAACAAGATGGAACAAGGGAGTGAATTAGCCCTTGATGATGTCTCACCTGACAGCTGGCACAAGGAACCTTGTTTCCAACAGAACCACGCCTCCTTCTTCATCTGAATACTTGTACTCCTCAGACAAACTCACAAAAGAATCAATGCTTCGGGACGACGATAACGATGCCGTCGTACAAGGACTTGTTCTACCATTGGAATTATATGCATTATTCTTGATATGGTTTGTCCTTTCACCATTTATTCTAACACTAATGTCAGTTATGTTTACCACAGGATAAATGTCGTCGCAGGTGAAATAGTCGGAGCTTTCAGAAAGATCAAAGCAAGACTGACTAGCTAACCATTCCTCTTCAGGAATCATTTCAGGTGATGATACATCAAATCCATTTCTTAATTTTGAACCACAGTAGTCTGTAATTCTGTCATCCTTTATCTCATTATTCCATTCATATTTAAACACTCCATGTCCCTTGCCTGTTCTGTGACAGCCATCGTCATGAGACGTAAATATGTTATGACTCTTACAGGCTGTGACTACATCACTTTCAGAAACAGTGACATTTACTGGCAAAGGAATATTTCTTGCACGACATTCATAAATGGTGGGAATCTTATGCTTCGCAATAGCTGTCTTTGTCTGAGAGACGACACCTGCAGCTTTATTTCCCATGGCTTGCAAACCATTTCCATTTTCTACATTTAGTACTTCCACAAACTTCAGAGGCAAGTTTTCATTATTCTTAATAATATTCAATGACTTATCCACACTTATTTCTGGAAAATATTTTGGTACCAACTTCTGAAAACACTTTTCACAAATTCTATCTTCAGAATTATATAAAATTTCTTCAGCAGTGCTCAGATTATGAGACTTTAATTCTTCAAGTACTTTTTCCTTCAAATCCACGTCTGCGGCCGCAGAAGAATTATACGGACTGTCCCGCTGTATCCCTTTTTTTAAACTTTCTTCCTCGAGTTCAGGAGTTGGTGCATCGCGCATCTGACATTTTGCGGCATGGCCATAATTATTACATTCTTCCCCTGGAATTACATCTACTCTGTAAGGTTTACTTTCTGGATAGCCATTCACTGTAATCTCTGGAACAGCACTGGATAATTCCTGTGTAGTTATACTACAACCTTCATTTATTTGGTCCTTGATAATAGAACTATGATTTGTAATGAGTGCAACAGATTCCTGATGGTTATGACCATTCTTTGGAACCCATGAGACAGCATTATATGATGCGCGAGTTCGCATAGTAACTGATCCTGTTTGCGGAGTACACGGTGGCTTTGAATCTGCCCTGTATTCATAAGCAACATTCTTGCCATACACAAATACTTTCTCTGAAACAAGACAAAAATTCAGTAATAATCATACGACATGCTGTAAAGCCACTGCAAATCACACTTTCATCTGGGTACTACAAATAATGTTAACAGTGGTGAGGGTATCCACAGTGTACCCTAACTCAAGTCCTGATTAAATTGATGAAATGAAGGAAACAATGGGACAGAAAGATGAAGACCTCAGACTACATCAGAGACTACAAGATACAGAGAGGACTGCTCATGTTCAGTTTAAATTAATGACTGCTGATCAATGCCGCTAAATTTAAAATGTAAATATCAATGTTGCATCACTTTTGACATTACTGATTCAGGCTGCGCAATGGCACAATGACCAAGAAGCAGCTGCAAAGCCCAGAGCCAGCCTTCTCTCGCCTTATTCAGCGGCAAATATTCTAGCTCATCACGTTTCATTTTTGTGCAAGAACACAACAAAATGAATTATCAATCAATTTTTGGAAACACTATCCAGTATAATTCAATTCTGAAGGGTTCTGACGATGGTAGATTGCATTTAAAATTATTCATTATCAGGACTTTTTCCATCATCTTTTCTCTAAAAAAAACCACGTTTTGGAGGCTGGCTCTGTCTCCGTCTTCAGGTGAGAAAAGAAAAGACAATGGAAAAAATCCTGATAATGAATAATTTTAAATACTAACCAATATACATTCAACCAGAGACAAGTGCCACATCCCAGTTAAATATATGGTAGCAGAGCATCATGGGGTGGCATCAAGACTGACTACTATTAGATAACTGAATGGATAAGAGAATATTTTGTAACAAAAAATTGTAGTTGGATTATTGATTAAGGAAATGTGATTAGAAGCACGCGGGCGCTCCATCGTGTTGTCGGTTTTTTCGCGAATCCCTTTGAGTGTTACATTACAAGTCAGTCAGTCAGTCGAGCGGCGTCGTAACGAGCATTCACGAGTTCTTTAGATAAGAGTAGCGTATTAAATGAAACAAAGATAACACAACCTCCACGTCCGACATATTGAATGAAATGAATGGAGCACACATGAGCACAGTCGAGCCGAGCGTTCAAAACGAGCATTCGATGCGCCTCACCAGTTGTGGTGTAATGTAACATGCTCGCCGCGAATGTTACATTACGAGTAAATGTTACAAGTCAGTCGCCACCTTAATACTATAGCCTACTTATGGCACAGTCATCTAAATTCTGTACTTCTGAGATTATCTTTTGGAAGGAAGTGTACAATAATTCCAAGCATTTTAATTCCACCAACAAGGGCAGTTCTGAGAGATTCCTGGTAGTGGCAGCTACCATGTTCTCACAAATGGCACTAACCATTGTACACCGATTCCAGCGACAACTGAGAAGCCAGGGGAGGTTCCAAGTTTAATGGTAGCTTCCCTTTCTGCTTATGATCAAATGTAATTAGGATGGGCACAACAACAACCAACATTAGTCTGAAGATTTCTGTCTTCTGGGTCGTTGCTCTGTGTAGTCTGGTCGATGTCAACCAACGTTTCAGAGATCATACTGCCTCCATCATCAGGGCGATTGAGTATGAAGATTTCTGTCTTCTGGGTTGTTGCGCCGTGTAGTCTGGTCGATGTTTAACAACGTTTCAGAGGTCATACTGCCTCCATCATCAGAGTATGAAGATTTCTGTCTTCTGGGTTGTTGCGCTGTGTAGTCTGGTCGATGTTAACCAACTTTTCAGAGGTCATTCTGCCTCCATCATGAGTAGTCTGGTCGATGTCAACCAACGTTTCAGAGGTCATACTGCCTCCATCATCAGAGTATGAAGATTTCTGTCTTCTGGGTTGTTGCGCTGTGTAGTCTGGTCGATGTTTACCAACGTTTCAGAGGTCATACTGCCTCC